TAACATTTTTTTTTTTTTTTTATATTGCCCCATCATTTTATTTATTTTTTTTTACATACTGTCACCCTAGCAGTACAGTGTCACCATGGTGGGGAACTGCCCTATCATTGTGGGGGTGATGAAGATTTTTTTTTTTTTTTTTTTTTTTTTTTTTTTACACGGATTGGGGAATTTGCACCCATATTGGATGTCAAAAGCAATCAATTTCCCCATCTTTGTCTCTGGTGCAATTCTTGCCCCATCGTTGGTGTCAGTGAAAAGAACTGAGTGAGCTGTTGATTGGTCAGTGGGGGGGAGGAATAGTGCCCCATCATGGTGTCAAGGGGTTGTGAATAGCCATTTGGTGTCATGTGGGGGGTGATCATTCACAGTGCACCATAGTAAGCAATGTCAGTGGGGGGTGACATCTTGCCCCTACTTTGCATGTGATCAGTGATTGGCCAATCAGTGATCACGTTGATGTCAGGGACCCCCATCGTACAGAGGGAGGAATAGTGCCGTCCGTACGATCGGGAGGAATGTGCCCGGAGGACACAGCGGGGCACCGGATCGCGGTGCTGCGCGCTCCCAGGGAGCGCGCACAAGCAGGTGCTGGGCAGCCAGTTTTTGTGACGGCCACCAGCACCTCTGCACTGACCACCATCCCTCGCTATATACAACGGCCGATTTTCGGGGAGTGGTTAACCACTTCAATTCAGGGCACTTTCCCCCTGTCCTGCCTTTCCTGGCTACAGTTCTGGCTTTCAGCACTGCTGCACTTTGAATGACAATTGCACGCGCGAACTCATGCCGACACTGTAAGGCCAAACAAAATTTTTGGATCATTTTTTTGGGACCGGAACCACAGAGCTTTCCCCTGGTGACCCCTGTACTTAATCATCCTGTGTTTTGGGGTTTTTTTTTGCTAAACAAATGTGTTAAAATAGACTGGCAACTTTTTTTTCTTTTATTTGTTAAAAGTTTTATACGCAAATACGGTAATTTTTCTTCTTCACTGACGTGTGCTGATGGGCACTGATAGGCTGCACTAATGGGCTCTGATATGCTGCACTGAGGGGGCTGCACTGATTATCAATGTAAATGTTTGCGGTCACAGGTTATCGGCTTTCCTTTCCTCAGACAGTGAGAAATGCAGAGAACTGGCATGTATTTACATGTATTCAACTGGGATTAGACACTGCTGATCTCATGATAAAAAGCCAACGTCATTGGCTCTTTACTCTGATCGGTGATACGCTGTGTTTGAGAGAGACAGCTCACCACTGACCGCCACGCTTGTGCAGCAAGAATAGGACATAGAATAGTTAAGGACAGTGATCATATGAAGCCATTTATTATCACATAGTTGTTTGGCTGCTTTTTAAATAATAATAATAGAAATCACCCAAATTGCCGTGATCAAAAAAAGGTTACATAACCTGGAAAGTTTGGCTTTGGTACAGACACACACTTCTTGGCTTTTTAAATTGCAATACGTGTCTGTGAATAAAAAGGAGTTTGTTAGCCCACATGTGGATGCACTGAGCAGGTTAAATACTGAGCCATGGGGAGCAGAAAAGAACTCTCAAAAGACCTGCATAAAAGGTAATGGAAAGTTATAAAGATAGAAAAGGATATTAAAAGATATCCAAAGCCTTAAATATGCCAGTCAGTACTGTTCAATCACCCAAGTGGAAAATGTGGGGATCTCTTGATACCAAGCCAAGGTCAGGTAGACCAAGAAAGTTTGCAGTCACAACTGGAAGAAGAACTGTTCGGGATACAAAGAAAAACCCACAAATAATTTAATACAGGCTGCTCTGGAAAAAGACAATGTGGTTGTTTCATGGCAATACTGGAACAAAAATAAGTGGCATGGTTGAGCTGTCAGAAAAAAGCATTCATTGCACCAATGCTGCAAAAGAGCCAAGTTACAATATACCCGGCAATACAATGACACACCTCACAGCTTCTGGCACACTGTAATCTGGAGTGATGAGACCAAAATAGAGCTTTATGGTCACAACCATAAGCACTATGTTTGGATAGGGTTCAACAAGGCCTATAGCGACAAGAATACCATCCCTACTGTGGAGCATGGTGGTGGCTCACTGATATTTTTTGGGGATGAGTGAGCACTAAAAGGCACAAGAAATCTTGTGAAAAATGGTGGCAAGATGTTCTATATTTTAAAAAAAGGCATATTTTCTGCATGAAAGCTGCCAATGGGACGCTCTTGGCCCTTTACAATGACCTCAAGGTCAAGTTGAACCTCCAGTGGTTACAAAAGAAAACGGTGAATGTTCTGGAGTGGCCATCACAGTCTCCTGACCATAATCTCATCGAACCACTCTGGGGTGATCTCAAAATGTGAGGTTCATGGAAGATGACCAAAGACTTTACATGACCTGGAGGCATTTTTCCAAGATGATTGGGCAGCTATACCACCTGCAAGAATTCAGGGTCTCAGACAACTATTACAAAAGACTGCAAGCTGTAATTGATGCTAAAGGGATCAATACACAGTATTAAGAACAAAGAGTATGCAGACTTTTGAACAGGGGTCATTTCATTTGTTTACTTGTTGCCATGTTTTGTTTTATTATTGTGCCATTCTGTTATGACCTACCTTTGAATATGAATTCCATAAGAAATAAAAAAAAAAAAAAATATATGTATGTTTTGCCTGCTCGCTCATGTTTTCTTTAAAATGGTACATACTGCATATTACTAATTCTCCAAGGGTTTGCAAACGTTTGGCAACAACGATATGTGCAATTTGTTGCAAAGCTGTGAACAAGGTATGGAACAATGTTTAAAGGGAAACGTTCTGTGTAAGAAAAATCAGAGTTCTGGAATGTGTACTTTTGGAAGGCATACAAAAATTATGCGGTCAATTGTGTTTATATGCCTAGCTATGGACTGAAGACTTCCTTAACAAAAGCCACAAAGTCCATTCCAAAGACATTCAATTCCCACATTGGAAAACAAAGAGGGAAAATACAGCCGCAAAATCAACAGGGTTTAGAGTTCAGATTGTGTAGAATGTATTTTCTCTTTAGTCAAGTAGTATTAAACCAAAAATGTATCATATTGCAGCTTACCAATCAGTTGTGGTGGCTGCATCAGTTTTTGTTTTTTTTTTACCCTTTTTGTTTTTTAACCAGGATAAGACAAGTAGGTCCCTTTGATGTAGAAGATGGTGGCATGGGACCAAACATTGGATTTGCTGGGCGTGTAAGTATGTTAAAATGGTGTTAAACCCAAAGCCAGAAAATGTAATATACTGCAGCTTACCAATCCTTAGATGTGGTGGCTGCATTGGTTTTCTTTTTTTAGGCTTTTTCCCTCTGTTTTCACCTTATGATCTGGACAGTAACACACCTCCTGTATTAGTGAGACACCACTCTGGAGGAATGAGCCAAGGACACAGCATTGTCAGTCTGTATTAGATTTAAATACAACAAATTGAAACCTCACACTTTATAATCAGTTACAGCACAGTTTTCCCTTTTGGGATAAAGGTTTTACATAAATAAAACCGGATCATTTTAATACACCTGCCAGTGGTAAATGGATGGTCTCATCCATGTAAACTGATACATTCTGATGGAAAGTTTGAGCTTCGGAAAAAGACTTGTTGGCTGCATCACCACATGAAAAAAAAGAAATAAAGCCAAAAGGAAACCAATACAGCCATCATATCTAAGAATTGGTAAGCTGGAATATAATAAATGTTTGCTTTTGGGTTTAATACTGTTTAAGACTCGAGGGACAACAAATCACGACACATTCTGATTTTCTTCCTGAAACTATTCTGTTTTAGGTGTAATTTCGTTCATAAAATGAATTCAATCATCAGCTGGCCTACTTGCCAAGGAGATTCACATTGTTGAACTAAAGTACCTGATAGCAACCAAAAGGTTTAAAAATACGTAAATAAAAAACTGCTCTGACAGGTAAACACGATATAGTTTACAGCAGCTCACTGCAAAGCACTGCCTCTTGTATGTGCTTTGTGAGACACTGGATTTTTAGCATTACATACGTCACAGTTTCCAGTGATTATTTAAATGCAGGTTGGAAGGTCATCTCTGCAGAGCCAGCCCTCTTCTTTTGGTGATTCTCAATACGTGTGGTACAGCAATAGGTATTTTGTAGACTCCATGTTCTCCCCCACTGTCTGGGCACTGTTCTGTCACTTGGTGCTTTTGGATTTATTCACAGTTTGCAAGAGATTGGTGAACAAGAAAATCACACTTGAATTTTCCCCTCCTCCTTACCAGCCTGAAACAGTGTGCTTGGCATTGGCTGCCATGATATATTCTATGCAATTGCAGGGTAGTTAATAGATGGACATCCTTAGTAGTGTATTGAAGCATAAAGTATACTACAGACTACCACAAGATATTGGGGTTGCTATATAAAAACACTACAGCAAAAAAAAAAAAAAAAATTACAAAGCATTACTATATTTTTCTTCTATTTGTACATCAGTACCATTATATCTAGATTGTACACTCATTAAAACAGGAGAAACATGGTATACATTTTGCTACATACATGTACAGTATATATTAAAAGCCCAAGCTTAGTCACTGGAAAAAAAAAAAAAAAAAGTAGTGCAAGGGACATTATAGTCAGTAGGATGTGTCCCTTGTACGACTGGCTCCTCTATTAGTAATCTTGGTAACAACAATTGGTAATTCTCCAGTGTGACCAGGGCGTAATAGGGCCAACAGAGCCGTGACAGGCACTCATCAAGAGTGCCCGATTATGCCCATCCTTTCTGCCCAGCTGCTCCATTCATAGAAACCATACTATAGCATCTATAAATGACACCCAATAAATGAACGGAGGACGGGATATTCACGGATCTTGTTTTATTCATACATTTTTTATTTGTAACTAAACTTGCGCTTTAATGTACAATGTTCCCTTTCTTTGTAACCCCTTTGCACAGCACTACGAAAGATGACTGTTGGAACTGAAATTTGTTATAAAAATATGCGGTCACATACCCCAACAAAATCTTCGCATAGACTTCTTTGTTAGTTCTAGAATGTTCCTTCAGTTCTGTTACTTTAGCATCAAACCAAAACCCACGCTCCTCTGGTGTCTCCCATGTTGTAATTCACCATTACAATTTCACCCACTTTGAGGTCATTGAACTTCAAGATGGTTCTTGCTCTGGGTCGCAAATTGCAGGTCTCAATCTCTACAACTCCATTTTCTGGATAACTAAAGCAGAAGAAAATAAGCAATACAGTTGTTAAAAGGGCCTAGTCTTTACAATTAAGCCTTCAACAGGGTGAAACGCATTAGATAGGTGTTCACCCAAGGGTGCAGACCAGGCTGAAGCCATCTGACACACTTGTGACTGGAAAGAACATCAACAGAGTGCAGGGATGCACCATTTCGTTGTGGATTGACTACTGAGCTTGCCAAGCCATACAAGCTAAAAGCAGCACCTGGAAGCAGTTATTGAACCAGCCGGAGGAACATACTGGAGTATCTGAGTGGTACCTTTCTTTTTTAGGGTTTTACTAACTGAAATATTGCATACATTTCCCCGAAATATCCAAGTATTTTTTAACAAGAAACTCCATAAAGTGTTAATTTAGATATGTTCATTTGGTGGACCACACTTCCCACAGAATGAATGTACATGCACTTTAACTGGACGAGTTGATATGCAAATGTTATATAATTACACCCCATAGAACTTAATAAGCCTTGGGTCTCACTTCAAATGTATTTGCCCTATTATACTGACTAGAAAGACATTTTTTTTTAATGAAAATGTAGCCTGCCTAGGTATGCCCACTCATTACCCATTAAGGCATTTTTATATTTTAATAACTTACAAGAGTCTGCCCACTGTTTGCATCAGGGCCAAGGGGCTCTTAAAGAGGAGTACTGTGGCAATGTTCTTTAATGCTTTTAGAAAGATATGTAGAACACACTGCTGATCCCTCCCACCAGCCAGGAACTGCCTGCATTGCATAGACAAGCACACATCTCTGGGTTTGAATAAAGTATGTAATAAAAACAAAGGGGCAAGAAGAATTTGGAAAGGTAGAAAACAATTGAGCTTTAACATACCCAAAATTAAAGTCTGTTTACATAGTTTAGTTTTAAGAGGGAAGGGGTAGACCTTCTGTCAAATTTTTATTGCTGTCTGTGCCCCCATTGGGAAAATTCACCATATTTGCAATGAAATCTCTCTCTTCAGCGAGGGTAAATCCAAAGTTTTAGAGTTGCTACCAGAGCAAGAGTTGGGGTAAAGCATCCAATTGGGCCAATGTTATAAAGACAGCTGTCTAAATTGGAGAACTTTCGCTCACTTTAGGAAGATTTAATGATTTCTTCTTGTGTCTCCAGGCCAGGAAGTGAAGGGAACTCTGCCCAGTGGAAAAAAAAACCACCAAAAAATTAATCTGATTAGAGTTGTAACCCTTCCTCGCTATATCCAAAACCAATAAACAAAACTTGGATATACATACACTTCAAATAAAAGCTACCTGTAAAATAGGAGATTTCATACTCACTTCTCCTGCAGGGAGCAAGTGAATGTTCCAGCTCCAGGAACTGCTGCTCTACAACACTTCCGACTTGTTAGATAGTGTTTCCCCCACTGAGCACTGTGGTTTTTCTCCCACCAGCTGCTACATCACTACAGAACACAGTAAGCTCCCTATAGTTTAGGGTAAACCAGCGCTGTATTACCTACCAAAGATTTTGCATTTCTGTCCACTCAGTCTTGAGATTTATGCAACCCTGACAGACCACACATCCACCCAGGTGACCAGACCCTTCTCTACTGCAGTTAACATGCCCCTGGCCTGACACTAGACAGTGACAGCAGAAGGCCTATTCACCTAGCTCTCTGCTTCCTTCTTCAGTAAGCAGGTACCTTGTTAACATATTTGCATATAAAACAGCGCTGAATATCTCTTTTTAAGCGGAAATGGTCTCATCTCCAAATTTGTTTTCCATAATGTTGGACAACCTCACCCCTGGACTATCAAGGCATTAGGTTGACGTCTACCTATTCAACTCTCTTTGCAGCTAATTCTTACCCTTTATTATGCTCTCTGAACGCTCTCATGCAATCATGGCAATTTCCCTCTCCGACCCCTCTATGGCGGACAGAGACTGGAGTGCTACAGACAGGAATATGTGTGGTAGGTCCAGCGAGTTAAAGCTAACATAGCTTTCTTTATGGGGCAATGAGTGATGGGTTACATGATAGAGCAATCGAGAGACAGGTGAGAAACAGCTGTTAGTCTTCTATACACAGCTGCCTTGGTGTCATGAAAGTAACTTCCCTTTTGCCCCAGGATCCTATGATGTTTCCGTCTATAAATCCTATGTTTGTTTCCCTCAATGGGTTAAAGCATACTGGAAAGCAGTGCTACCACATCAGTGGAGGGCCTATTAATCATTTAAAATTAAACAAAGGATATTTAAAGGCAAGCAGATAGGTCAGTAATTTAGCTCTGAGGAAGAAGGCTTGTCCCTCAAAACGCATCAGTGTATTAGCAAGGCTTGTCACGGAGTTGAAAAGAAAACTTGGTATTGTATTTGACACATGCTTTTAATTTTAACACTATGGTATTTAACTAGTTTTATTAAGAAATGGTGTCTGACATACTGCACTAGGCCAGAGCTCTCTCTTCTTTATTGTAAATTACTTCCTACTGTATTTTTCACTGAATTTAAAATAGTTGGTAAATTGCGATTATCGGGAGAGATCACACCTTCTGCAGTCTCAGGTAATCAACAATTTACAGTGTATGGCAGCTTGAAGTTAGATTACTGAAACACAGTGGTCTTCACAGACGCAGTGTAATGACTTGCTACTCTAGAACCCTGGCTTTCCCAAGAAAGCGTCACAGCAATGGCTGCTGTTAGAAACCATGGGGCCTCATACAGTCAATCTGACAGCCACCCCCCCCCCCCGAAAAAAAAAAAAAAACAAGTTTACTATGCCTCAGTTATGAATAAACAGTGAGTGATTGGTATCGATCACTCACTGTGTTCATTTAGGAAAGGAAGGGGCTGGTAAATGTGACATTTATCGGACCATTCTCCACTCTCTATGTCGAAGGGTCCTATTATGTTGTGCTTACAGCTGCCGGTGGAAAGGAGAGGAGGGAAGCCAGCAGCACTGTGGGGATGGAGGCACATGGGGGTTGTGTGCCTGGGCAGCAGGGGGAAACTAATAGTGCACAGGGAGGGTGATGAGTATGGCACGGAGGCAATTACTGGAACTGATCCTTGTATGGCTCTCCCTGCAGCAGCTGAAAGCCATCAGGGAGGGAGAAGAGAAGAAGCCAGCTTTCAGCTGCTGCAGAGAGTGCCATACAATCGTTTCCAGTAATTGGCCCCACCACCTGCTGTGCCAATCACCCACCCTGCCCACATCTGATTGCCCCCTGCTGACCTGGGCCCTGTACAGGACGACTGGTGGTACCCACTTATCCACGGCCCCAGTCACAGCAATCCTCCACTGTTACTGTATGATGGTAAAATCTATGAGCTGTCGAAGGAAGGAATCATTTTTAGAAGAAGGCCCTGTTAAAAGCAAATTTTACCAAATGATAAATGGAGGCTGCCTACCAAACATGATTTCAGTATTTTGTATATACTGTTCTTAGAGATGGTATATATTCTATTTGTCCATAGAACATGAAGCCCATTGGTATTTGTACCTGCATAGGAGTATACCGGCTAGGTATATCAACCAGCAGATAGCGTTCATTTGAATCCTAAAAAGAAAGCACCTGTTTCTTTCCTTGGGGAAGTTTCAGAAGCTGCTGAAATAAGAAAATAGGACAAGGTATGTTTTCCTTCATTCAGTCTCTATCAAAGCTTCCCAAGGGTACAGGCTGGTTCTTTTTGTATCCACAAACTGCAGGAACTTATGTTCCCTAAAACAGTCTAGCACAATGGAAAGCACTGAGGACAGTTTGATATATAAATAGATTTCTCCAAATATTAAAATCAGCATATATGTAATATTCTTACCATATGGTTGTACTTACTCGTCATATTTTATAAAATAAGATACATCGTCATCATCCACATAATCCGAGAAAGAAGTAGAAGGGCCAGAGTCCGACACATGAGAATTCTCAATGGAATGGTCCTCATTCAAACTGCCATTAGTCCCTTTGAAAGAATTGCCACCTTTAACATTAGCCTTGCCATTTTTCTGTCCTTTTGAGGCTCTTTTAACATTTTCAACACGTGCTTCAAACCAGGATCCAATGGTTACATCACGGACATCCACCAACTCATTGATCTACAAAGAAAATAAAAAATGAATACAAGCACATGTCACTACAGTAACAGAAGCTTTGATCATAATGGACACCATCCTAAGCTGACCAGAGATGGTCCCTGTTGAACCAGCCAACATCTGAACCATGTATGGATCAAATCGATCCACTTGGGAACAACCAGCCTGCCGGATATTACATGCTAATGATTACTGTTAGTGGCTATTACCGCCGATAGCAGTAATCACTGTGTTCTAACAGGAACACAATGGCTGCACAGGAGGCATTTCCCCATCAACACTGACTGTGTTGATCGGGGAATCCAGCAATTTTCTTTCCTGCAACTGCTCCGTTTATGGCCAGCTAAGCAAAGCCACACAGCTAATCAACTACAAAAGATTCAATGATATTAGAAGCCCATAATCTGACTTATGTTATCAGCAGGTTAAGGCAACAACTGGTTGCCTACATATTCGATGCAGATGACTGCAACATATAAAGAAAGGACCTCAGTCATAAGTAGGGTTAGAAATTTGTGTCAAGAACCATGTCAACAGTTGTTTGGTATAATGGTTTTTTAACAGCTAAGTGTGCATCTACTGTACACCTTTTCTTGCATTCTATATGCTGAATCAATATTAACTACTGATCAGGTTCCTGTGCTGGCTTACCAAGCAAATACCTGGGCTGCTATCTATAATCATCTATGCCTTTCATTGAAATAGTTGTGCTGTGGATTGCGGTTTTCATTAATTTGGTGTGTGTATAGACTACAACAGTTTTGTGATTCACTGCCTACACAAATTGCAGAATATGAGCAAACATGTTTATATCTTACAAAAAAACAACCAACCAACCAAACAAAAAAAAAAAAACAAAAAACAAAAAAAAAAAACACGGTTTGCCAAAATCCTATACAACCTTACAAATGACAGCCATGTAATGTACAATAGATAAGCAGAACTCAAGGCAAAAACTTCTTTACATAGTTTTATTGCTGCCTTCCTAGCATATGTACAGTGCCTTGGTAAAGTATCCATACCGCTTGAAATTTTCCACATTTTGTCGTTTACAGCCAAAAATGTAAATGTATTTTATGTGATAGACCATGGGGGGAGAAACGCAGGTACAGCCCCCACACCCGCGTGGGGGGACACAGGTACAGCCCCCACACCCCTGCAGGGGGAGAACACAGGTACAGCCCCCACCCCCGCGTGGGGGGAATAAGAACACAGGTGAAGCCCCACACCCCCGCTGGGGTAAATGTAAATGTATTTTATGTGATAGACCATGGGGGGAGAAACGCAGGTACAGCCCCCACACCCCCGCGGGGGGGGGGGGGGGGGGTGGTAACACAGGTACAGCCCTCACACCTACATGTGGTGGCACACAGCTACAGCCACCACACCCACGGGTAGGAGTTTGGGGGGACACAGGTACAGCCACCACACCCCCGCGGGGGGGGGGGGGGGGGGAACACAGGTACAGCCACCACACCCCTGCACGGGGAGAACACAGGTACAGCCCCCACACCCCCGCGGGGGGGGGGGGGTAACACAGGTACAGCCCTCACACCTACATGTGGTGGCACACAGCTACAGCCACCACACCCACGGGTAGGAGTTTGGGGGGACACAGGTACAGCCACCACACCCCCGCGGGGGGGGACAGGGACACAGGTACAGCCACCACACCCCTGCACGGGGAGAACACACAGGTACAGCCCCCACACCCCCGCGGGGGGGGGGGTGGTAACACAGGTACAGCCCTCACACCTACATGTGGTGGCACACAGCTACAGCCACCACACCCACGGGTAGGAGTTTGGGGGGGACACAGTTACAGCCACCACACCCCCGCCGGGGGGGGGGGGGGGGGGGGGGACACACAGGTACAGCCACCACACCCCCGCGGGGGGGGGGGGGGGGGGACACAGGTACAGCCACCACACCCCCGCGGGGGGGACACATAGTTGAAGTCATCTTTTGTCATATGACTACAGTCTTTCATTAATTTGTCTGAATTTGTTTGTCTAGTATTTTGGCTGGCAGGGAAGAGATGAGATTACCCGTAAAGAGCACAGCCACAGCTAATAACAGAAACCCTAGAAGGAGAATTAAATATTTCAAGTAGATTATAAAGAGTAAATTAAATATTTTGCACGTGCCTGTTTTACATTTATAGGATTGTAACTAAACTGTCCTTGTGTGTGGTGTTGAGCATTATGGATGAAGAATGAGGGGCACAATTTATGTTGAAGTGGACACATACACATTCAACATATACAGGCCTAGGATACCCACCCACATGCAAAGCAATTCCCAGAGATTGATGGGAACTGTACTTTCTTTTTACTGTAGAGAGGGGAGAGGATATGTAATCTTTGCTGTTACATCTCCTCATTGGTAGAGCAGATGCTGTTATCTTTTGAAATACACTGAAGCCTTTCTGATCATTCAGTTAAGACATTTCTTTTTAATGGTAAGGAATTCCACAAGTATAACAACTGTTTAGTGTAAGTGGGATGTAGTAATGGATGGTTTATATTGCCTATCCTCGAGTTATTTAAATGGAAGAAGTTAGCATTTTCAAAATTCAATTTCATACACTGATCTGAATGTCAAATTCCAGTTAACATACTTGTCAAAACATCTGTGAAAAGACAATTACGCTGACCATCAACACTATAATTTCTATTAGCTTTTGACTGGAAAAGAACCAAAGGGATCAATGCACCATATCAACAATTTCTCAAATGTTTCCTTTACACTGACATCAAAAGCTAACTAAAACTGGCATGTGTATGGCCTACAATACATCAACTAAAAATTGTTCTAAATGAGGGTCTACCGCCAGAATATAGACTTGGGATGAGAGCAGCAGTAGTGTGTAACTTGGTGGGCCACCTCACACAGAGTGTGTGTACAGTATGTAATAAGCAAATATTGTGTATTCCCATATATATATATATATATATATATATATATATATATATATATATATAATATATATATATATATACACACATATATATATATATATATATATATATATATATATATATACACACATATATATATATATATATATACACACACATACACATATATATATATATACACACACATACACATATATATATATATATACACACACATATATATATATACATATATATATATATATATATATATATATATATATATATATATATATACACATACACATATATACACACACACACACACACACACACATATATATATACACATACACACATACATACACACACAATTAAGTGCCCAGTCATAACTGTACAACTTGTCATGCAATTTGATTGTTTCAAATTGCATCACAAATCGCAGCCTATTGTCCGCAATTGAAGTGGACATATTGGTGCGATTCTGACTTAGAGACACAATTTTGAAAGTAGTAAATGCACTACTTTTTGCAAGTTCAGGTGCAACTTGCATAGACATATGTGCCCAGTAAGGCTCAGATGTCTTGCAAGTCAGACCTGAAGTCAGACTAACATCCGACTTTGAAATCGTGCAACTGCACTGGAAGTTGCACGATTTCAAAGTGGGATTGGTGTGACTGAAGACTAAATGGAAAGATGTGTATATGAAAATCTTAAAATAGCAATCTTACATATTTTTACTTTTACAGCAGCACGTAAATGTGATATGAGAAAAATCCTTTAAGTCATTTACTTGTAAAAAAGACCCCAATATTTCTTTTTTGGGGAGTTAATTTAAATTTTTTTTAAACAAAAAGTTTGCACAGCTTTCATGCAAAATTTCCGCTTTTTTTTTTAAACTTGGAGTAATCTGGAAAAATATGTGAATCCTGAAGAAAGAGGTGTTAATCTGTGAAAACCGAACTAAAAGTGCGTTTAAGAGGAATGACTGCAATCAATGTTCTAAAGATAAATAAAACCTTGTTCTTGTAAAACTGGTAGGTTAAAGGAGCCTGATAAATACACCACTCCCCTAAACAGGACAAACTTATTTGGTGCCCAGCTTTATACTGACAACAATGGCATGTTTTATACGGTTTACTTTTCATTAACGTGTTATTAACCCTGATAAACTGCCTCACATGTTCAGCTCAAAAGTGCTTAAATGGTTATTTAAAGGCTATTACACAGTTAAGAGGTCATGCAGTAAAAAAAAAAACATTACTGGCAAATGAAGTAACATTAACTGGAATTTAGAAAAAGAAAAAAAAAAAAAAAAAAAACCACACACGACACAAAGGACAGTTCTATTAATACCACAAAGGAGATCTGTATAATTGAAATTACACTCAGCAAACCTGTTTTGTAGCAAGCAAAAGGAATATCATAAGGGGGGGTGTATCTGTGTACTGTACCCCCCAAGAAAAGTATTACTCGCATGACCTGGAGCTCCGGCGGCTCGATATATGCTCCACTGGCATCCAGGTCGTATGAGAGGGTAGGGTTGAGCGGGTTACTCACCCGTCCCTGCTACGTTGCGGCCGGGCAGCCGGAGGCGCTTTTGGAGCCGTTCTGGGGTGGCGATCCGGTGCGGCCTGTTGCGGCCGAGGGAGCCGCGGAGCCCTCTGGCGCATGACGGGCCGGTCAGCGGTGGTGTGACGGTGGGTGCAGGATCGGGAAGGGGGAGGACTGATGACCCCCACCTCCCCCGCTCGTTCTGTGGTCTGCTGCCTGTCATCCCTCCGAGCCGTTCTGGGGTGGCGATCTGGTGCGGCCTGTTGCGGCCGAGTGGAGCCGCGGAGCCCTCTGGCGCACGACGGGCCGGTCAGCGGTGGTGTGAAGGTGGGTGCAGGATCAGGAAGGGGGAGGACTGATAACCCCCCCTCCCGCTCGTTCTGTGGTCTGCTGCCTGTCATCCCTCCGTGCCTGTCAGGACGTCCTGGAGGAGCATCCTGATCACCTTCCCTCCCCCCCATATGGGATACAGGGGTGGCGAGGATTAATGCGGCCTAGTGGGCCCAGGACCTTTCCCACCCTACACAGGCTGGCTGCAATCACACCCAAAG